CCAAACAAGACTCGAGGGCGAGTAGGGGACTGATGTAGAGGCTTGAATTTAAAAGGAACAAGAAAGATGTGACAAATCTAAAAGGAACAAGAAAGTGAAGCATTCGCAAGCTTGAATTTCGCTGTTGTTCTTATTTTAATTTTTGTTTTGATGATTTCCTAGGTTGTCTTAGTCAGTTAATGGTTTCTAGTGGATTATTATTGTTAAAAGAGTCTTACAGGGTATGTAGCTATTAGATAAGGTTATTTTTAGGTTTTCCTTATTATTTTGGGATAGGGGTATTTTTTTTTTGTAATTTCAGGGTTTTCTTGGCTGTAGACCTAAACAGAATCCCTATATAAGAAAAAATAAAGGAGAATATAATAGATCTTTTCTTTCTTTATTTCTCTTGAATTTTTCAAACAGTTTGGGTGATTTTTTGCTGTAAAAATCACTAGAATAGATCTGCTAGACCTGTTCTCCTGCATTAGCATTTGAGCGGTCATTTGTGGAGATTGATTCCACAAAGAGAATAAGGTTTTGGCTGGTGATGACTTTTGTGAAGTATTGATGTCATCATGTCACTGGTGGTGCTGATCATTGGGCTGAATATTTTTCAAATAAAACTGTTTTCTTAGAAGCATCGGGAGTAAGGATGGGTAAACCACAACAGTGCAACTTGAAGGTCAATTGGCCATTGAGTTGGTTTAGACCTTATTAAAAAAAGTGAGGCGGTGCAATAATCTATGCTTATTCCAGGGGGGATTCTTGATGAATGTTATTAAAAAAGGTTTTGGCTGGTGCTGACCTTTGTGGAGTATAGATGTCACCGGTGGTGCTGATCATTGGGCTGAATATTTTTCAAATAAATTTGTTTCCTTAGAAGCATCGGGAGTTAGGATAGGTAAACCACAAATAAAATCGTTTTTCAAATAAAATTGTTTCCTCATCTTTCTACTCAACCAAGACTGACGCTGAACTCACCTATGCTGAAACAAAAAAACCTAATTTTATATGTGATGGAGGGGAATTACAAGGGTTGTGCCTACTTAAATGGTACTCCTTATAAACATATGCCATTTGTACTCAACCGACAGTACAACCCACCCAAACTGAAACATGACATGTAACTATTACATAGGGTAGAAAGTAATAAGGATTCTGCTTGAACAACATACATGTGCAGATGATAAATTTCCATGTAATAAGCTGCTTGAAATCGGTTTAATTCTCTTTATTCCTAAACTAATCCCATTTAAGGATTTGAACTTATAGGGCTGTCAGACTCAGATTGGATGGAGAAGTAGAAAGCTCGTTGGGCCATGGTTTATCAGTTAACCAGATCGTCACTTGGACCATCAAACCATCAAAGAATCGGGACCTTGAAAGGTGGCTGGCTCACCAGTCCACCTATCTGTATAATCACCTATATAATTATACATTTGGACTGCAGGAACACTGTTCAATGACAACTTTTTCTTTTGATAGTTAACTGAGATGGTGTTTATTTTTTTGGAGCAATGACTCCAGCTCGGTGCCATGTGGGCGTTTAACAGAAAAATGCTAAATTTATTGTTTGGTTGGGCTGTTTATCATGTAAACATTTTCCCCTATTTACGCGAGAGCCATTTATAAAAAATGCCAAACTTAACGTTTTTCGTTTTCATGGGCATTCTTTTACTGTTTGGCGCATGTAGTGCCTAATGCTAATGGTGTTAAGTGGCATTGAACTGTTGAGAAACGTTTAAAGCAGATTTTGTCCTGATTTTCAATACAAAATTGTGTGAAACGTTTATCAAATAAATGCCATTGATGCCATACATTCTCTAGAACATTTGCATTAAGCGCTTTAAAAGAAACCAACTTCCAAGCATGTCAAGGCCAGACGGCAAGGGCAAAGTGCAATTAGCATAAAGCTTACTATATGCTAACTCATAACATCACAGATACTCCTGCTTTAGCTAAGCTGTCAGAAAGGGAATTAGCCGATCCAGGGATCCACCTGAACAACCAGTTCAGGCTGCCTCCCATGGATATGAGTTCCTAACCAAAGCTCTAAATCTCCAAGTAGGATCTTCTTCTGAAGTAAGCCAAGAGATAACAGCTTGACAGTCCCCTTCTATTCCGTGTTGTGCAATCAGCTTGAGACCTTGAATTGCAGCAAAACATGACTTCTAAAACCTACACCCCCTGGCCCCTGAGAAGCTCAAAACGATTCATTCCTTACTACCCCACCCACTGTTTTATGACAGCTATAAGCTTTATATTCAGGGTCAATTTGGTTCGCAGTTGGAAATGAAATTGGACTGGTCTATTCCCCCCAATGCGGAATCAGAATCAGCTGGAATGGGTTTATTCCCAAGGGAGGAGGGAATGACCTTTCCCTCAAATGGGGGAATGCCATTCCATCAGGAATGGGAATTGGATTTCAATTCCATCCAACGAAAACAGTTGGATTTTGATTCCAAACCCCTCTTCCGGCAAACCATGCAGACTCTCAGTTCATTATATGGTAAGAATCGTTTTGACATCACGCACGATTATCTTATGTGGGATCCCCCAAATGGTTATTCTTTGTCATATCAATATGCAATATGTGGTAGTTTATAGGGCCTAGGTTGCAAATATAGGTCATAAAGTACTCATCATACCAAACATGGTTTCTGAGATACATACCAGAAATTATGATCTTCTCCAGGGATCAGAATTGCCACCAAACCCCATAAAATGACTGATTCTTCAGAAAACAATTTTGGCAAATGGATTCCTCTGATTGAATTGCAATTAGCATGTATTATAACGTTACGATCCTCATGAGGAATTTGGTCAATGGTGTTCTTTCATTCATTGTATCCGAAGTTCCGAACCCAACTCTGAGGTAGGAATTCCCAAACCAGTTAGCTAGCTAGAAATCTGCATGAGAAGTACCTAATGAGCTGATGGGGTACATTAATATAGGGTGTTCTCAGACACAGTCAGATTGAATATAAGATCAGAAACCTTAATTGGTCACCGTTTTACTGATGATTTAATCATTCAATTCAAATTCATTAACAATTGGAACTGGAAAGCCCACTAGGTCAGCAGTTAACTAGTTCAAAATTCAACCCGTTCTATCTGTTCAAAGATTGATTGTGATAACACTGTTGAAGTGTTGAGAAAATAATCTCTTGTAGATAACAATTGACAAGATGGTGATACCTTGAGTTTTTCAAAATTTCCCTATAATGGAATAATGTGATGTGTGCACACAAATTATGAAAACAAAGAAAACAAAATTCGTTTGGTAATGAAAATAGTAATTATATTTTTTGAAATGTTCTCTAGTGAGGCCTACAGACAAAGAGGAGAAAATCTTGGCTCTCTCCAGTTTGGCACTTCAGTCCACACAGAGACAGTCAGTCAGCCATGCCTCCATCAATACTGTTGCATAGTCCTCATGGACTAACGCGTTACACAGGGAAAGCCCTGCGGACAACACAGGCACAGCCAAATTCTTTGGGACAAAGACAATCCTAGTTGAAAATTGCAGAAAGCTGAGAGACGCTTGAAAAAGCAAATCATCAAACACAAAACACAAACAGTAGGGTATTTAATCTACTCTCAACCACAACAGCAGGGGAGAGTGGAACCTCCAATGGTTCCAACTCGGGATTCGGCGTGAGGGAGGCCCTGAATGTCACCACTCATCAACCATTGATAAAACTGCCAAAATGATGAGCCTGCTTGATGTCATCAAAGTTGATATATATTTCTTAAAATACTGGATAAAGGAATCCTTTTTTGTTTCTTTGATGATAAACAAAAGAATCCAATATAAGAAATCTGTCTACATTGGCGTGTTAATGTGCTCTCTGCTCTGGCCTAATGGCGTGAATATCACAAATCTGTAGTCTTATTTTTATTTGGTTTATAATATAAAATTCTTTGTTTTGAATACGAATCTTGCGTTTAAATGCAGATCAAAGGTGTAAATATACAAGAATCAAGTGCAAAGATAAAACATTTGTATTAATAAATATTGATGCAATGATGGGTTTGTTTGTTAATTCAACTGGGTGATTAACTAATGCCATAAAATACTGATAAAATCCCAAACCCTTCTAGTTAGGGGACGGTACTCTAATGGGTATTTGCTCATGTCTGCGTAATCAAGCAACTGAGAATATATTAATGCAGTTCTTACGTGGATCAAGCGACAGCCACTGATAGTTAGATTCAGCACAGAAAAGAAAAAGGAACGATGTTCAAGGCATCCACGAAATGCTGACACTCGCCCCTCACGCCTTAGAGCCAAAGCAAAGAAAGTAGCAAACAAGGAAAAGCAGGACCACTTAATGCTACTTTATAGCAAGTTTAACCGAGTTTTGACTCGGCATCTCAGAGAGAAGAGCATTTAGTTGGAGGACTCTGTTGTGCTTGTGCAAACAAAAAGGCATTTATCATTTTATTGTGAAAATTTTTAAAAGAAATGGAAATAGTACAAGCAATAAGACTATCTTCTGAGCTTGATCCCCATATATATTCACAAATGCTGGAATCAGATATCACAGACTCCAGTTTGACTTTGGAGAATCTGATACTGAGATGTGATCATGTGAATGGCTTGTCCATTTAAAATGGATTCCAACCAAGACTGGTCTGTCTTTCCAAGGTTTGAGCTGATGCTGAATTTGGTGCCACTCCCTTTTAACTAAAATCGCTTCCATTGTAAGGAAAGTAGGAAACAACCCAACAGGCCAACATCACTTTTTCCCTTCTGTGTTTGTGCGTTGGAAAAGTAGAACCAAGCTTTAATAAAGGAGTTCTTCAGCACTGTGGCCTAAGCACTGTAGTTGAAATCAATCAATACTATTGCACCAAGCTAGAAATGCCCAGCAAAAAATAAACACTCCCTTCCTCAGACCTCTTTTTCCAATCTTGTAATTAGTCTTTTATGTACAGTTCTAGCATAGAAATGTAAACCGTTTGAGGTTGAGTTTGAGCTAGTAACTTCAAATATATATTGCCAACGGAAGAAATGTAAGCCAATAAAAGGGAAGAGAAAAGGCTCTAAAATTTTAGGCCATCCTTGTAATCTTACCAAAAAGAAACCCTGTACAAAAATGGAGAGAAAACCAAAACAAACAAACTTCCTTCCCATCTTCAACCTTAAAATAATGAAGAAGGAATGATAACTTCCTCCCCTATCTTTTAGATTCAAAGGAGAGGAACTGCTCCATTTCACTCCACCCCTTCATCTCATCATCCGGGGCTCTGAAACAGAGCTACACATTCTTGTAAATCACACCACAAGCAATAGCAAATACCCTCTTCGCTTGCCGAAATAATTTACACTTCGACTGCTATTGCCGGTGCTCTTGATGGGGGAATCCCTTGAGACTTTGAAGTCTCAATCTTTGATTTTACCTCGTCCACGACCAGCCGAGTGAGAAGCAGTCCTGCCACAAGAGCTGCTGCCATCAGCATTGTGAACACTGCACTCCAGCTCTTAGCAGAAATGTAGCCTGTCAACAATGGCCCAATTGCAGCTCCCACAGAGCCTGTGCCATCTATAATGGCTGTTACTGTTGCCAGTGCCCGAGAGTTCCCGTTCAGTGAGCTGTGTGTGCCCAAATCTGCTGATACTGCTGTTGTTATAAGGGCATATGGCCCATTTACAAACATGCCGGCAATAAACATGAGGATGACGTTCACATACAAGGAGACATGCCCATAGCTCCGGTAGAAGAAGAGAGCTGGAATTGCACAGTACATGAAGCTTGCAGCTGTTATGGCTCTGGCATCAAGACGGTCTGAAATGTGTCCTGCCAGAATCCCCCCAATCACACCTCCTACATCAAACATTGTAGACAGGTTCCCTGCTGTCTCATCAGACAAATACTTGCCATTGATTGCTGCAAGATGAAAAGAAAATGCAGTCAAGAACAGAACACTTTTGCTTTATCAAAAGATCAGATGCCTATATAAGTCATGACTCTAGACCAGGAGACAGAGTAGGAAGGCAGAAGAAGTCGACAGAAATTGAGGTCGGTACCTGTGCGGCTGATGTAGAATGGGAGCCAATAGAGGAATGTATAAGCCACCAATTTGGAGAAGAACAGGCAAAGAGCAAAAGGGGCAACTCCAGGAATCTTCCATGCCTCAATGAACCCCACAGCTTTATCTTTTACAACCTCTGTTCCTGAACCCAACAGAGGTTCTGTTATTCCCTCGCTACCCTTCTTGGGAGACTGCAGTTCATCTTCTTCGCTCTTGGCACCAACAGACTCTGGATTTACAGGCAACAACAGAAAAACCACCAACCCCACAGAAGCAATAAGAAGACCAGGAGCGGCAAAGGACCAACCCCATCCATACTTCAGCAAAGCTGAAGCAATCAGTGATCCTGATATGTTCCCAACAGATGTATGTGCATTCCAAATACCCATAATCAGTCCTCGCTTTTTCTTCCCAAACCAGTTTCCCACCACTGCAACGACTGAAGGCCATCCAGTCGACTGGAAAAGACCCGCAATCATCTGAACCATCAAAAAGTAGTAGAAGTTATGGATGTTAAACCAGTACCCAAACCCAAAGAGAGAAGTGAAGAGACCAGTCCCGAGCATTCCCACTGTCAAAAAGATCCTCAAATCCAATCGATCGCCTAAATGTCCAGCAAAGTACATTCCCAAGGAGTAAACTGAGAGGAAAGCCAGGTCGAGATCTCCTAGCATTGCTGCTCCATCTGTTCCATTGAAAGGGGCCCAGCCATTCCTGAGAGCAGTGGAGACTTGCTTATTCTCTGCAAGGAAGTGGTCTCTCGGCCATGATGGTAAGGTCAGCCCCGCCCTTGACGCCCCGGGGTCGAGGGCGCTTTTGACGATGCTGGCGGTCTTCCGGGCAGCATGGTAGCTCGCATACGCTAGAAATGTCACGATTAGAACAATGGCTTGGTATGTTCTGAAGGAGATAGCAGAATTCCTTGTGTACTTAACGAGTCGAATTGCAGGAGGTTTCTGATAATTTGTTTCAGGTGTTGAATCCCCTGGCGAACCCATGTTAGATGTTTGAAATATGTATCTGAAGAAATGAAGAAGTAGTAGAAGAGACGACTTTCCCTCCCCTTATAGAGCTAAGCGTGCCATCTGAAACCAGAAAAGAACAGAATAAGAACATTTCAGATCAGATTTCAACAAATAAACAAGAATATTTTCACTCTCAATACAGAACGGAAAAGTTAGTAAAGGTAAAAATTTGTCTCCTAATGTTCTGGTTATTTACCATAAGCAAATAGAACTATAGAACGAACGAAGATTATTAGAATTCCGTAATTTGAAGAAAAGGGGATATAGATTTATCAACTAGTACCTCAGTTTTGTTAAAAAATCGAGGCGTCAACAAATCTCTATCAGATTGCTCCAAGCTCGAATGCGGAGTAGCTTGTAAGCACAGAATAACTTAACAGGTTCAATTATCTGCGCGATTAGAAGTTCAATCAATTAGAAYATAGGAGAAGTCAAGTAAACATCGAAAAAAATTTCTGCTTTGGGGCGAAAAAAAATTCCGAGAGATATTAACTTAGAAGTTTGAACTATGAAAGAACAAAAGAAAAGGGACATGTTTCCCTCTTATATGGAACACTTGACAGAATATATGCTCTGCAAATTTGGAAGTCTGGACAGGTCTAAGATTTCTAGAAACACTAAAATGAAAAAGCTCAGAGATAGCAAATTGAATAAATTCRAAAATCGAACAAATAAGAACCAAAAACTAGAAAAGAAAATCTGAGTCAAACCCATAAAAATCGAAGCCCCTAAAGTGATATTTGGAAAAGCACCTATCAACAAAAATGGATTGTAACGATCATCCTGGCACTCAAGATGAATGAAGCAATATCGATGGAAGGATGGATTTACAGGAGAAATCAGTTTGAAGGATGAAAGAAAGACTTTTCGACATTTTAGCAAGGAAGTAAGCAAACCCAGGAAGCCAGGACATCGTACCTTGCTTAATTCAGCTCAGAAGATGGGTATGGCTAGATTCTCTCTCACAAACACAGTTGCTCTCTTCTTTCACTGGTTTTCAGTTGATTAACGACCAAGTCCTTCGGCAGCAATGCTAGGAGGATTTAAGAGCAACGCCCGTAAAAATTTGGGAGAATGACCAATCAGCCCAGATCAGAATTTTATAGCCCCAAAGACAGGGGGAATGCATAAATTTTTTTAGTATAATTACTGAAATGACCTTCGTTCTCCTTCCAAACTACGGAAGGCAGACAGTGTTGGCTACTTGTCGCCATGTTACGACTTTGACCATTATAGCCTCTGCCCTCTGTAAGAGAGGTTGATTACTTCTTTGAACCAAGAATCCGGAAACCAGATCCCAATATTCGTTCGCCCCACAGGACGCGCCCCACAGCACATCCCAACCGTGAATTGGAAGCATCTCCCCATTCCCCAATGCACGCAGAGGCATACGAGGGGCACTGATGTGTTTAGTAACTAGGGACATTTCTTGAAAAGCACTTTCTGTAATTTCTTAATTCTGAATTTTGAAAATTGTCTAATGTCCACCTTAACTCCAAGAATTTTTTTGTTTGTCTATGTAATTCAATAAAAAATAATATTAAAAATCAGTATAATGATTAATAATTAAAAATAAATAATATTGCTAATTAATATAATAGTTAATAATTAGTTAACAACTAATAATTATTAATTATTTATAATTATAATAAGTCATTATTAACTTTTTGTAATTCATTAATAATTAATTATTATTACTAATTATTAATAATTACTCATTTTTATTATTAATCATTATTAATTCATTATCGCTAATTAATCATTAATAATAATAATTATTATTAATTCATTATTATTACTAAGTAATACTTAATAATTAATATTATTACTAATTATGATTAATTCATATTCAATTTATTATTAATTATTAATTCATTGTAAATTAACTATTAGTGTCATTGTTATTGATTAATTAATTATTCTAATTATTATTAATAAATTGTTAATACTTATTAATTTACTATTATTAATTATTGATTAAAATGATTCATATTCAGAAATGTTATTATTAATTAATTTCAATTATTGTTAATTTATGCATTATTGATTATTAATATTATTAATAACTGTATAATACTATATAATATTATTATTGACTATTAATTGCTAATTGATGTAACCGTTTTTGGTCACGTACCATTTTTTGGCTAAGTACCTCGTTGTTTGACCCGGTGGTGACGTGCCTTGGTGATGAGCTACTTGGTGG